AAATATTTCAAAACCAAAATATCTTTTCCCAATTTGTCTCTTCTTTTTTTTTTTTTAAGAGAAAGGCAGCAAAGGAAGTTAAGTACCATATCCAAGATGTATTTCTCAAGCCAGAAAATGATTTCCAGCATATGTTTGAACAGAGAACAGCAAAAAACATCGAAACCGAGGCTCAAATGTATTTTCAAACCATAAAAGAACCTTCAGCTGATTATTCAATGATCCATAGCATCAAATCCAAATTCTAGTTGCTTAAGCGAATAACAATCCATAAAAAAACAGAGAGCAAAAAAAGGAAGGGAGAAAGAAAAAAAGAAAATAATACTCCCAATACTTAATAGTTTGAAGTTAGAACTCACAAAGTAAGCTAAGCCTATTGCCGTGCAAACAGATGATTCAACCCAACTATGAAGGAATTTCAAAAATATATAAATCAAACCGAGAACTCGTATAGGATAGAAGACTTCAAGTTCAACAAGAAAAAAAAAAAAACCGCAGGTAATCTCTCCAAGCAACCAACTATCATTCTAAAGGAATGTTAAAAAATCTTATCTACTTCCTGATATTATAGCATGAATCCATTTCATGAATATAAATTCTCATGCAAGTGCCTTTCCAAAGTCAAAAATTCCTTAAAACAGTCGAAACAGAGAAGGAGAACTTACTTCCAAATGTTTCCAGAAGTTTTCAAAAGAACTTAAAAGCAGTAAGCAGAAGTAATCCTCAAATCCCAAGAATGGAAGAAGCCAAATCCAAAAGAAATAGCCAATCAGCCAAAATTCCTCTTCAGTATAGGAATAAAAATAATCAAACCCAAAATTGAACCCAAAACTTCCCTCAAATGACTTCTGGCAAGTCTCCAACAAGAGAAATCCCCAAATCAGTCAAACGAAAAAAAAACTCTCAAGATCCTTCCCCGAAAGGGGTATTTATAGTCGAGAGAAGGAGAATAGTTCACCGATGGGGCTTACGCATTTAGGCGGGAAAATTCATTGAAAAGAATATTACCGGTGAAGCGACCGACGACATAAGTCGGTTAAGACCGGCGAAGGAAGAGGTGACCGGAGAACCGAAAGAGAATAGAGGAGGAAGAAGACGTCTAGTTAGGACCAGAGGAATTTCGAGAGAAGGGAGGAACCCGTGAGAAAGAAAAAAAAGAAAAGAAAAGAAAAATTAGGTTTAAAATTTAGAGTTTTAAAATTTTTTTTTTTTTAAATTTATTATATATTTTTTATTTGAAAATATCAAATTTTGTACAAGCACGGCATCTTAACAAAAATAGGTGTCGTTTCTAGCTAAAATCGACGTTTTGGACGCAACGACGCTGTCTATTTCGTCATTCGGAACCATCCGGACAAGTTCATCGTCAATCGTGTCAAATTAACTTTGATTCGCGCGTGACACGACAAATGAAATTATTTTGACCCGATCGAAGCCATTTAACGAGTATATTATTGACCGGTCCTCACATAAGCGACGATCGAAGTTAAACATATCACTCGTAGTGGCAAGTCAAACATTGCATGCGCAACGATGTCCACCTACGTCTTTCAAATTTCTATAGGAGCTCAATTTGAACTTCAATATGTCGGCTTTTCGGTCAACTTAACCGAATATTGAGGATCTAAAACTGTCCATATGAAACTGCAAAGAGCGAAGAAATAACTTGAATTTCTAAGGGGTGTGGGTCCCAGTCTAGTCCTCTAAGAGAGTCAAAATAGGGAGATCTTAAGTCTAGATCCTAGGGTATTTAGAGAAAGGAAAAGAATACCTCAAAAATGAGGTCAACATCATGTTGTTTCCTACTCCGTGGTGGTGGTGTATCTTCCACTATCTTCCTCCCCCCCTTTTCATTAGCCATCGGCCATCCCCATACCATCCCCGCTGCCCTGCCGCCCCTTTTCCACCACTGCCTTACTTTCCAACTTTTCCAATCTGCCTTCCAACACCCTATTCCCCTCCAACCTACTATTGTCGGCTACTCCAACCCCTTCCTCGACATCAGGCAGCCCCATTACAGCTCTTAAGGAGAGCGGTT